CTCAGGAGGTATCTAGTCCAACCCCCTGACAGATTTTTGCCCCAGATCCCTAAATGGCCCCCTCAAGGATTAAGCTCACAACCCTGAGTTTAGCAGGCCAATGCTCAAACCACTGAGCTATCCCTCCCCCCATACTCCAAGCTTCTTCATTCTTAGTTCTTTGTTTGACGAGTCTATTCAGCTGTGAGTTCTTAATTTTCAGGTTTAAGTCAATAGCTCTTAGCTCTGTAGCGTCTCCTAAGCTCTGCGCCTCCCACTCAAGAATTGAGGAACCTGGACCTGAACTCTTCTGGCACGCCAGAGGCGAGGCTGGTCCTTTGTCTCTTACCACCGGCTCATCAAAGAAGGGTGTGAGTATATGAATCAAAAGCTCTACAGTGTGTAATGTCACATGCACCTTTAGAATAATAGAACTGCATTTGTAACTCTGATTATTTGGCCCTTTGATTACTATTTGATTGTAATTCCATTTATCTCAATAAAAGTCTTTAAGACTATATTTGGCTCAATCCAAGAGTCCTGTCATCCGAAGAAGTGGGCTGTAGTCCACGAAAGCTTATGCTCTAATAAATTTGTTAGTCTCTAAGGTGCCACAAGTACTCCTGTTCTTTTTACTGTCATACCCCCGACGATCCTGTGTAGCCTGATTCTGGGACAAGAGCCTTATTATCTTCTGATCAGATTAATTGGTGCGCCTATAACCCATAATATCCAAATTAATAATATTAACCTCCTAAAACCAGGCAAAAAGTCAACCACAGAAAAAAGACTTTCCCTGCACGTCTCATCTCCACACAGTGCCAGAGCCTTGCACCACTAAGGCTAGAGGTGAATGTTGTCCCCATGATCCATCCAGTCCTTTGTCCTGATTCAATAAGAGTCTAAGCCACAAAATTCACTTCCAGACTCTCCAACATTTAGGGTTGTTCAGATCTGGGGTTTTGGTTAAGCCCATTTTACAGATAAGGGCTAGCTGCCAAATTTGGATGGCCAGATTCCGAGCCCCTCTTAAAATGCAGAGTTCTTCCGATATAGGGTTGCGTTTGCCCCATTTCTAATGCTGATGAATAGCATTTACAATATTGTGAGGTCACTTACCCACTAGGACCAACAACAAGATAGCAGTAATGAAGTTATTATTGACCTGAGCCAGATTTGACCAGGAAGAGAAGGGCTTTAGACCCATCTACAAGCCCTCTGAGCCATTCAGTTTTCTCCATGGCTTCATTCTGAGTCCTACCCTTTTCTCTAGTGAAGGTTTGTGCTAGGTCCTTTCCCTTTTCCTCCACCCTCCTTTTCCCTCTTTGTCTTTTTATTCTGCATGCACCATTTGGCATCTTTCTGCCAGTGCATAGTTCCTGGGTCACAGGAAATAACACAAAAGGCTCCTGTCACTCAGTGCATGGCTTTTTGCCAGTGGAAACACAGCCGTGTATGAATTGGCCCTCTCGCTATTTTTAGCCTGCTTCGTTTGATTGCTGCGTAATGAACCTGGCTGATCTGGGGAGCTCCCGGGCGTCTATGCTGTATTTCTGACTGATTTACTCTAAGGTGGGAGAACGTTTTCCAGGAGGGGAAGATGAAAGACAAGAGGGCGGCTGCTCGGAGCGTGGTACAGCCAGAAAGCATGATAATGTGCTGAAGACTTACTGCTGGGCTGGAGAACCAACAGCACCCGAGGCATGAAAGTGGTCCAGTCAAGTCCCCATTCAATCTCCCCAAACCCAGACTAGATGCGGGGGGAGCAGGAAGGGGCAAGTGCCACGGGTATTGAGATCCATTCTGCCCTCTTGGACCATCACATAAACTTGGGGGGAGTAAAGGCAGCAAGCAGCAACTGGGGAGCTGGCCTTGGAAGATAGAGACTCCCCTTGCAGCAGCCACCGGAGAACAGGAAGCCATGGGGGAGCTCCACTGGGGGTAGCTGAGGAGAGAGAGGGGGAAAAGGCAGCTCCAAGTCATCTCTCTACTCTTCCAATCGTGGAACAGCTGGGGGCCAAAATGGCACCTGGGGTATCTTGCAGCATCATAAGCTACCCCAAAGCTACCCATGCTGCTGTCTCTGGGGGAGGTAATTCTTATTGTCTGTAGAGTATAGGCTAGTGGCTGTAAGGTGCTACGGACAGTAAATGGTCAGTATTATTGTGTTTTATACGTGAAGGGTCCAATTACACTCTGGAAAACCCCCACTGCTGGATCGTATGCTGATTGGAGGCCCGAGGACTGACGTCACCTAAGTACGGTGGGAACAAAGCTCTGGCCGGACCGTAGAGCTGCTGGGAGGCTCCAGGGAGGCTGTGGAATACTCCCCGAATTGCCATTTCCTGCCCTTAGTGGAAATCTCCTTACAGGGAGGAATTAGAACTGGGAGGGCGGGAAGCAAAGCGACCTAGGTCTGAAATGAAATTGACATCGGTTATATTGCGCATGTAAACTGGCTGCTTACAATGAATTCCACACGGTTTGCAGGAGGCCCTTTTATTCACCAGTAAAATACTCCTGGTTGTATGTGTAATGCAAGAGTAGTCGTTCTGGCTCAGCTCAAACCAGACAGATCCGACTAGATTCACTTCTGCTTGCACAGGAAGGGGTCAAGTACACCTCCCTGCAACAGCCTGCTCTCTTCCCTCCGAGACC